GTCCATGTGGAGTTTGCACATTCTCCCTGTGTCTGTGTGGGCTTCTGCTTGGTTCTCCAGTTTCCTCCCATAGTCCAAAGATGTGCAGGTTCAGTAGACTGGCCATGCTAAATTGCCCATAGTGTCCTGGGGTGTGCAGGCTAGGTGGGTTAGCCATGGGAAATGCAGGGTTACAGGGATAGGATAGAGGGTTGATGTAGACTTGATGGGCTGAATTGCCTGCTTCCGCACTTTAGGGGTTCTATGACTCTATATGGCATTCAATGAGAATAGGAAGATAGGGAAAAGTAATGGCTAGGCATTGTTAATCAAAGATAGCATTGGTGCAATGGTTAGAGATGGCCCTGGATTAGTTGATCAAGATGTAGAATGGTTTTGGGTGGAGATAAGGAACAGTAGAGGAAATAAGTCATGAGTCTACACTAACTAACTGTAATGCAGGATCAAGTACACAAACATGAATATTGGAGCTTTTGAGAAAGGGGCAGCTGTAATCATGGGCAATTTTAATCTATATATGGACTGGAAATGTCAGATTATTAATGACAGCCTGGATCACAAGATCATACAATGCTTTTGTGATAATTTCTTAAAGCAATAAGTTCTGGAACCAACCAGAGAACTAGTTATACTATACATGATATTGTGTAATATGATAGATTAATGATCTCAGAGTAAAGGAATTCCTAGATAGCAGTGACCAAAATACGATTCAATTTTAGATTCAGTTTGAAAGGGACAAGAGTGGGTATGAGCCTTGTATTTTGAACTTAAATGATTACATGGGCATAAAAGCTGAGCTACCTAAAGTAAACTGGGATCCTAGGCTTTGAGCTAGATCAATAGAGGCACAGTGGCAGACAGTTAAGGTATATTTCAGAATATACAGCCTAAGTATATTCCTATTATAAAAAACTTCTAAGTCCTGGACTCACCATCTGTGAGTAATTGAAAGAGTAAAAGAAAATTAAACTTAATAAATAAACATATAATTACACAAGATGAATGACAGATAAGATGGGACAGAATATAAAGAACAGCAGAGAATGACTAAAAGATTGATCAGAAGAAAGGATTTGAGTGTGAGGGAAAGCTGGTTAGAGATGTAAAAATGGGCAGCAAGATTTTCTGTAGGCATTTAAAAATGAGAAAAGTAAAGTTGGTATTGGTCCTTTAGAGAGTGAGAAACATGCCAGTGATAAGGAGATGAAAGGAACGGGGAACTTGGTGAAATTATAGCCAAATGGATGGAAATGCAGGCTGACAAGTTCCAAGGTCTTGATTGACTTCATCCTAAGGTCTTAAGAGTTGTCTAACAAGGTAGTAGGTGAGATGGCGTTAATTTTCCAAAATTCAACAGATTCTGGAAAGATTCGATCAAACTGGAACATAGCATATATACGTATTCCAAAAGGATGGGAGGCAGAAAACAGGTAACCATTAGGCAATTAGCATGACATCTGCCACGGGGAAGATGTTAGAATCAACCATTAGGTGACTTAGAAATAGGCTCTTTGAAAATTGCAAGGTAGTTAGAAAGAGTCAGCATGGTTTTGTGAAAGGGAACTTATATTTAACCAATTTATTGGTGTGTGTTAAAGGAGTAGCATTTAGATAAAAGGGAGTCTGTAGATGCACTGTACTTGGATTTTGGAAAGGCATTTGACAATGTGCCAGATAAAAAGTTATTGCGTAAAGTAGAAATTCACAGTGTAGGGGGTTATCTTAGCATGGACTGAAGGTTGGCTGAGTGGCAGAAAATGGCAAGTATTCATAAATGAATTTTTCATTTCGAATTGACAAGATATGATGAGTGGAGTCACACAGGAGTCCGTATTGGGGCCTCAGAATTTTACCATTTATCTCAACAACTTTAAAAACAGGAGTGAAGGCATGGTGGCTAAATTTGGAGAAGGCACAAAGGTAGGTAGGAAATCAGAATGTGAGACAGGATATAGATAGAGATAGGTTGAGTGGGTGGTCAAAAATCAGGCAGATGGAGTATAATATGGGAAAAGGTTAAATTGTTTACTTTGGCAAGTAAAATAAAAGTAGGGAATTACTTAAATGGAGAATAGCTGCTGAATTTCAAGGTGCAGAGAGATCTGGGTGTTCTAGTGCAGGGGTCGTAGACCATTAGTATACAGGTGCAGCAAGGAATTAAGAAGACCAATGGAATGCTATCCTTTATTACAAGAGGAATTAAACAGAAAAGTAAAGATATTATGCTTCAATTACAAATGTTATCGGTCAGAATACACCTCGAACACAGCGTGCAGTTTTGGTCTCCTTATTTAGGGAATGGTGTAAATATACTGGAAGTGGTTCAGAGGAGGTTGATACCTGGAATAACCAGGATGACTTTTGAGGAAAGATTGGACAGATTGGTTTGTTTCCACTGGAGTTTAGAAGAGTGAGCAATGACTCGATTGTAGTATATAAGATTCTAAATGGTCTTGAAGGTGGGCATGATATGGATGTTTCCCCTTGGGGGCGATTCCACATCTAATTTCAAATTAGGGTTTACACTTTTAGGATAGAGATGAGGAGAATTTTTTTTCTTTCAGAGGAAGCTACAACTTTGGAAAACCCTGCCTCAGAAGGCAGCGGAGGTGGTTGTGATGATGTTGTGGCTTTAAGAGGTGTGTTTTGTCCTAGTTTATTTTAGAGAGAAATTGGGGCCCAGGTACCGAGCAGTCTATGAGAAGATAAACAATTTGTGAAACTTTGGGTTTCTTTTTAGGGTTGGAACAATAGAAGCAGCCTGAATGGGTGTGGTTAAGCTCCCACCCACAGAATCCTTAAAGATCAGCAAGGCCACCTATGTATGGAACCATAGGAGATGGGGGAGATACTAAACAAGTATTTTGCATCAATCTTTACTGTGGAGAAAGATAAGGAAAATAGAGAACGTGGGGAGATAGATAACAACATCTTGAAAAATGTCTAAATTACAGTGGAGGTGGTGCTGCATGTCTTAAAATGCATAAAGGTTGAGAAATCCCCAGGACCTGATCAGGTGTACCCTAGAACTCTGTGGGAAGCTAGGGAAGGGATTGCTGGGCACCTTACTGAGGTATGTGTATCATCGATAGACACAGGCGAGGTGCTGGAAGACTAGAGGTTGGCTAATATGGCGCTACTATTTAAATAAGGTGGTAAGGAAAAGCCAGGGAACTATAGACTGGTGAGCCTGACATTGGTGGTAAGTAATTTGTTGGAGGGGTTCCTGAGGGACAGGATTTACAAATATTTAGAACGGCAAGGACTGATTAGGGATATTCAGCTTGGCTTTGTGCATGGGAAATTGTGTCTCACTAACTTGATTTGTGTTTTTTGATAAAGTAACGAAGAGGATTGATGAGGGCAGAGTGGTGGACGTGATCTATATGGACTCCAGGAAGGTGTTCAAAAGGTTCCTGATGGCAGGTTAGCAAGGTTAGATCACACACTATGGGGAGAACTAACCATTTGGATACAGAACTCGCTCGAAGGTAGAAGAGAAGGGGTGGTGGTGGACGGTTGCTTTTCAGACTGGAGGCTTGTGACCAGTGGTGTGCCACAAGGATCGGTGCTAGATCCACTGCTTTTCATCATTTATATAAAAGATTTGGATGTGAATATGGGAGGTATGGTTAGTCAGTTTGCAAACGACACCAAAATTGGGAGGTGTATTAGACAGCAAAGAAGCTTATATCAGAATACAATGGGATCTTGATCAGATGGGCCAATGGGCCAAGAAGTGGCAGATAGAGTTTAATTTAGATAAATGTGAGGTGCTGCATTTTGGAAAGGCAAATCAGGGCAGAACTTATACATTCAATGGTAAGGTCTGAGGGTGTGGCTAAACAAAGAGACCTTGGAGTGCGGGTTCATAGTTCCTCGGAAGTGGAATAGATAGGATAGTGAAGGCAGCGTTTGGTATGCTTACCTTAATTGGTCAGTGCATCGATTATAGGAGTTGGGAGGTTATGTTGGAGTTGTACAGGACATTGGTTAGGCCACTACTGGAATACTGCGTGCAATTCTGGTCTCCATGCTATAGGGCGGATGTTGTGAAAACTTCCTTCAGTAGGTCATTAGTCTGGTATTTTCTTCTCCAGCAAGTAGAGGCTGTGTCAATGAATATCTTCAAAGCTGAGCTCGAGATACTTTTAATTGACAAGTCAAACATTATAGGGCCTTGCAGGAAAATAGAGTTAAGGTCACAGTAAGATCAGCCATGATCTTAGTGAATAGCAGAGCAGGTTCGAGGGGTCGAATGGCCTACACCTGTTCCTGGTTCTCTCATTCTTTTGTAAGGGCAAGGAGACAGGGAGGTTATACAGTCATAAAATCAGTTTTTATAGCATGGATAAAGGTGCATTGGGCCCAATATATCTGTGCCGGTCATCGAGTATCTACTTAATCCCATTTTCCAGAACTTGGCCTGTAGCCTTATACACTTTGGCATTTCAGGTGCTTATCAAAATAGTTCTTAAATACCTTGACCACTCCTTTCATGCAGTGAGTTTCAGATATCCACCACACTGGGTGAGAAAGAATTCCCCAAATTCCCTCTAAACCTTTTGCCCCTTACCTTAAAACTGTACCTCCTGATTATTGGCCCTCTACTAAGTGGAAAAATTTCTCCCTAACTACCTTATTTGCATCACTTAACTTTTTACACCTCAATCCCTTTCCTCATCCTTCTCTGCATTAAGGAAAAACAATCCCAGACTATCTAATCTCTCATCAGAGCTGAATTACAACAGCCCAAGCATCATCCTGATTAGTGTCTTCTGCAATCTCTCTCTCGTGCAGTCACATCCTTCCTATAGTGTGATGACCAGAAATGTCAAGAGCACTTCCAAATGTAACCTAACCAACATTATATTCAGCTCCATAATAACCTCTTTGCTCTTGTATTCAGTGCCTTGACTAATAAAGCCAAGTATACCGTATGACTTCTCAACCACTCTATATAACCAGGCTGCTGGATTCAAGGATTCACGACAAAATTAGCCAAAGTATTTTATTCAGCAATTCCAACTTTCAAAAGGATGACATTGAAGAACAGACAGTACTCCGAAGGATAGACCAGAATAGACAGCTAAGCTTGATTGACCGAAATGATAATTCTTGTAATGTTGAATTCAATATTCACCATTGTGATGAATCTTGGTGTTCAGCATGGATTTCCTGAAGGAGAAAAAAAAGAGTATTATTGGATAGTCAACAATCAAGAACAGTGACCTCCAGTGGTTTGATGAACTCAATCAAATGAAAATATGCAAAATAAAAACCGAAAGAACTGCAGATGCTGTAAATCAGGAACAAAAACAGAAGTTGCTGGAAAATCTCAGCAGGTCTGGCAGCATCTGTTAAGAAAAATAAAAATCAGGGTCACCAGACCCGAAATGTTAACTTTGATTTCTCTTCACAGATGCTACCAGACCTGCTGAGCTTTTCCAGCAAAACTTCTGTTTTTGTTCCTGATTTACAGCATCCATAGTTCTTTCAGTTTTTATTTAGTATTTAACTCACTGCCACATCTCTTCCAGGTATGCCCACCTTAAAGAAGTTCTGCTCCTTTCTCTGACGGGATTTCCGTTCCAATCTCTCTTCTTGCCCACCGACATTAATTTCACTGTCACTCCTGGTGTTTGACCAGGTATTTGCTAAAACTCATTTCCACAGCCATATCACATTCCTCAGTGACTGCCTCAGGCTCAGACTCACTCCATGTAGATTCCAACTGAAGTTTCATCCCTTGCATTTTGAATCCTCCCAGGATCACAGATGTTCAATGTTCCACAGACAGCTGCTCTAGCCGCATCCGGAGATCTACACTCAGTGCCATGTGGTGTCACATGCACACACTCAACCTTTCTCTCCAACAGCATCGCAACACACTGGCTCAGGGCTGCACCACTCCACAGTTCCACTTCATCCTCCAGCTCATTTGTCATGCTAACAAGAAACTTTTTCCCTTTTCCTTTCAGGCATCAAGGCCCACAAGATGCAACAACTCAATACCCATGGCCCTCTGGAACCTTCCTCTCCTCCCCTTCCCTCTGACTCCATCCCCTCCCCCAACCCCACCTCCTGTCAGGTATTCACCATCATTCCAAACCTTCTGTTCTCTGATGCTGAATGTTCTGCACTCAGCGAAGGCCTCAGCTTTATTCGTTTGCGTTCCCACTTAAAAAGGAGGAAGGGTCACTGGACCTGAAATGTTAACTCTGATTTTTTTTTCTTCACAAATGCTGCCAGACCTGCTGAGCTTTTCCAGCAATTTCTGTTTTTGTTCCTGAAAATATGCAATAGCCAATCTAAGACCAAATTGCCTCCTTGACCTCAAAACATCATCTGACTTTCCAATAAATTTCCTAAAAAAAAGGAGAAATGTGCTCATCTTAGCAAATTGCTTCTGAGTTTGGAAGATTATGAAACAAACCTCAGGCCTAAAATGAATTCTGTGATGAAGGGCAGGAAAACAGCACCTAATAGATATAAACTTCAAGAGTAGTTAATTGCCTAAGAAACTCTTTGCTAGGTTCTGCAGCTATGAAGAATTCTGTATAAAAGCAAATCTCAACCTGTCAAAATTTCAAGATCAAGAAAACTAATAGCATTGATTGACTCTATTGGAGAAAGCTGTGCAATGGCTTAAATTGACTATTTCCTGCTCAGCACTCTCTTCAAATGTTGTGCTCCCCAGAAGTGAGTGATTGGAGATGACCACTGTCACCTTTGGAGTTGTTGGAAAATTTGGGATCTACCCTCTGCTGGACAGAATGCCATTCTGTGTAGTTAACATCTCTAAGTAGAAAATTCTAGGTTCAGAAACTAATACCACAAGGACCGCAGATTTGCTTACTCCTCACTAGTGCACAGTTGCAGCAGCATGTACTATCTACAATATTCAAGTAGTCAGCTCCTTCCACACCATCTCCCGATTCCACATCTGTTACCACTCAGAAAAACGAAGGCAACAAGCATATGCTTGAGCTATTAGTTAATTAATCCTACACAGTACTCGCTGAATGACATGCTGCTGGATCCTTTTAGGCAAGATAATTACAACATTTCTGCAATTGAATCGTGAGTTTCACTCTCCCTTTAAATAAGTGGTGTGGTGATCGAAGCACAGTGTAATTGTTAATGAATTCATAATTCAAATGCCTGAACTGATGCAAGCTACAGTCTCATGATGGAACTTTTATTTCACTTAAATGAAGTGCTGGTGCCAATTAAAGTGATTACAAAGTTGATGTAATGTTATAAAACTCAAATGATTCATAGTAACATTTGAGTCATAGAGGTGTACAGCATGGAAATAGGCTGTTTGGTCCAACTCATCCATGCTAACCAGATATCCTAAATTAATCTAGTCCCATTTGCCAGCATTTGGCCCGTATCCCTCTAGACACTTCCCATTCATGTACCTGTCCAGATCCCTTTTAAATGTCGTAATTGTAATGGAGTTGCTAGATGAAAAAATAGCCAAGGGTTGTCAAGCTGAGCTACTACACACTGGTTGTATGATGTTAACTAAACACAATATCAATCCACGTCAATTAGTTTGCCAACAGATTCAAGGAAGCCAGCCGTGGGAACCACAGATCAAAATTTATAGTTGTCTGCTGAAACATGGTATATTTATCATGTTTTAAGTTACACCAAAAGAAGTAATCTGACATACCCAGTAAAATGATGCTATGGCTTTAAAAGGTGTATTTTGTCCTTTTTTTTGAAGAGAGGTTTTAAGGCAGAGGTACGCAGCTGTATATTGAAATCTCTTCAACTAAACAGCTTGAGAGGCCTTTTTTTAAAGAAAGGTTGGAACAACATAAATAAACTGAAAGGGTGAGGCAAGCTCCCACAGAACCAGGATTTTAGTTTTACTTTCTCAGTAGCAACAGTTGTTGGTAGGGTCTCAGCAGGGTTTGGAAGCTACAGTACATCTCTCCCTCTCTCTCACTCAGTTTTCTCTCATTATTTTCCTCCTGCTGTGAGAGTTGCATTTGAGACTGTTTTACTGAACTTTCCTTTGTTGTTTCTTTAAAGTTATTCACAATATTAGGAAATAGGTTCCAGTTAAAGTTTCTTCAGATAGTCAGAGATAGATTTCAACATACGTGTAGATACACGTATAACCAAAAGTTTAATAGAAGCATTACGGGAAAAACATCTATACCTGGATGTGAAAGTTAATTAGTCTCCGAAATGCTTTCCCCTGTCTCTTAAGAAGATGCCTGGTACACCCGGAATGAAATAGATTGTTCGCAACTTATTAGTTACAAAGTGTCAACAGTGGAAGTAGCTGTATAACTTTATACTTTATAACAGAAATTATGAATCTTTTGGCAGTTAGTTAAAACCAACTGTCTTTTCTATTTTTTTATAATTGGGAATAGTGGACCTTGTAAGAGGAATAACTGAATTTGATAGACATAGCACATGGAATGTAATGAATAACAGAATTCAAGCAGTCCTTAGAGATAAACAAGTTTGGGACAGATCAGAAGGAGCATAACCAGTAACTTTGGAATGTGAATTAATAGTATGCATAGAAAGATCCCAAGGCCTGGCGATTACAATGTCTGCTAAGCACCATGAGATCAAGGGAACCAGGGGCTGTCCATAGGAATGCCAACATTGATTAGGTGTTTCACAGGATCAGGTGTATGGAATAAGGGGGAAGGAGACAGTGACCATGTTGTGTATGATTATTGTAACAAAATGTATAAAAATGCTGTATTTCACTGTAAAAACAATGCGTCATTGAGCTTTCTTCCGATCTGAGCTGCAGATCAAGGGGATGATTGTGTTCTCACGTCAAAGCCATATTCGGGGAAGATCCTTTGGCCCTCTCCCTGCATTAAGTGGTTTTTGCTTGAATAAAAGTCTGCCACTTGCCTGAGTCCTGTCTGCCTCCTGAGTCTGTGTCTCTGGTCAGTGGGTGGGGGGGCAGGGGGCGGAGGGCGTAGGGGAGGTGTGGGGTGTTGTAACGCTTCTGCAACTGGGTCTTTGTTTTAGGACAGCACTGGATGATTACCAGATATCTACTCAAATTGTTACGTGTTTGGATAACTCTACTACAATTCCAAAGTCCAAAGATGAGCAGGTTAGGTGGGTTGGCCATGCTAAATTGCCCATTGTATCCAGTAGATTTGTGGATTAGCCATGGGAAATGCAGGGTTACAGGGATGGGGTAGAGGGGTGGGTATGGGTTAGCTGCTCTTTGGAAGGCCAGTATGGACTTAAAGGGCCGAATGGCCTGCTTTCACACTGTAGGGGTTCTAATATTCTATTCTTCCCTCCTGCATTCTCACTACTCAATCATATGTGCACGACTCATTGTTAGAGAGAAGGGGGAGGAATGGTACAAGGACATGAGCATGCAGATTTATCCCAACTTGAATCAGGACTAAGTTTAGGAGTTTGAGATTTTCATACAAATACAGGAGGTCATGGAAACATGCCACATCATTGGGTCCAACCTCGGTCATACAGTGTGCGCCTCAATTTCTCTGCACTCCTCATCCAATCCAAACCAACTGCACTTAGTTATTAAGCCTGCCGATGAGGGTGGTGCTGTTGTAGTCTGGCGTACTGACCTGTGCTTTACAGATGCTGAATGCCAGCTCTCTGATATCTCCTCCTATCTCCCTGTGGACCACGATCTCACCATGGAACATCAGGCCATTGTATCAACTACAGGAACTGACCTCATTTCACCTGATCTCCAACCCCAGCTACCTCCAAGCCGATAGACCTCCCAGCCCCGCACAGCTCGCTTCTACCTCCTTCCAAAAATCCACAAACACGATTGTCCAGGCAGACCCATTGTTTCAGCCTGCTCCTACCCCACAGAACTCATCTCTTCCTGCCTGGACTCGGTCTTTTCTCCTCTGGTCCAGTCCCTGCTCACTTACATCCACGATTCCTCTGATGCTTTACACCAGTTTCAGAATTTCCAGTTTGCAGGCTCCAGCCGCCTCCTCTTTACCATGGACGTGCAATCCCTTTACACATCTGTCCCCCACCAGGATGATCTCAGGGCTCTCCGCTTCTTCCTGGAACAAAGCTCTGAATCGTCTCCACCCACCACCAACCTCCTCCGCTTGGCTGAGCTCGTCCTCATCCTCACCAACTTCTCTCATTTTATTCAGGTCAGAGAGGTGGCCATGGGA